CTGCTGTCTGGTAATCATTTTGCAGAATTTCAAACACAGTGTTCAATATGTCCTGACACAGTCTCCGTTGTTTACTGGGAAACAGAACTCAGAAATGAGTCAGCCATTTTGAATCAGAACTTGAAATAAATACATGTTAATATGTGTAAAGTTTGCTTTCAATCAATCCAGGTATGATAATGTCATTCAAAGTTATGGCTCTGGAACAGCACTCGCTACTACTATCTGCTCATCAGTCGGCCATTTTAATGTGTAACAAGCTCCCAGTATATTCAATGTATCAAGTCCGAACGATAGCTATTCACGTGTGACCAAGATTTCGGAATGGCGAAAATGCTCGATTGTGACATTAAATTAAAATGTCTGCCTTCTCGAATTGGACTGTCATATAAATACGTGTTCATATGTGTGACATGATGTATGGTGTACGTATAAAGTTTGAAAGTGATTGGTCGAAGCATGTCAGAGACACAGCTCCTAAACAGCATTCGTTAAAACATAATAACTGCCAATCGACCATCTTTAGTCCGATACGAACAACAAAATGACATACACGACTGAAATACCGTATGATACAAATGTATAATTTGTACTACTAATTTTAGTACAAAAATGGTTTGTATTTGGCCATCTTGCATCGAATCGTGAAACGGTCGATGGGCATATGTATACCAAGGTGCACGAGGCCTGTAAAAAGTCTGAATATGAAAGTTGGCCCATGCATGTCCGAGACACAGATGTACAGGGAACGAACGCAGACACACAAACAGATCGATCTAAGAGACCCTATTTTGGAATAGCATCTGAAAAGACAATAGCAGTCGATTTTCCGCTCACTGCAATCTCACGTATTGCGTGTTCTATTTTGTATTCAAGTCTACTGGTTCAATAACTGGCAACGTCTTTCTAGTTTACTGGTGAAAAAATCACTTTAGATTTAATGCCTTTTTATTTCATTGATGAAACCACTGGGATCACAATTCGTGACTGGTAAAGTTACCGTGAACTCAGTTCTGGATCCCTGATGAAACAACAGGAGATGCAATGCTAGTGCATTGCCATTACAGGTTGCGAAGTCTGAAATTCGTTCGGGAAAAAAGACAGTATTCACTGATTTATACTCAGGCAAAGAAAAACTCCTTAACATAGTTGCTGATGCAATCATCCTAAGGTCTATGATGCAATCAACCGACTCACTGTCCAGTGAGTTCCACATCAAAAAAGTGCTTACAATGGGTACAGTCAATTCGTAACAAAACCGTTACATACAAGGATACTTCGTATCACGTGGTCACTTCGTCCCAAATCATTTCTCACCACGTGTTCAGCTCGTGAAAACCCACGAACACGGTCACTTCGTCCAACGTCACGGTTTCTATGAAATGCCGATGATAGTATGCTCCCATTCAATGTTATACCTCCATCTGGTACTATATGATAAAACACAGCCCCTCTATAGTCTATAAAGGAACTGTGGATGAAAGAATGTAAAATTTCAGACTAGCAATATGACATGTATTTATTTTTAGTATTATGTTTTTAATACTGTAAAATGACTAATTTTCACTGGGTTTTAATTTCACTGATTTATCATTTCAGGCGTATTCAGTGGGTTTTAAATTCACGGTTTTGTCATTTAGATAAATTCTGTTGCCAAAACTGGGTCAGGTAAAGGGCGGTGGTCTTCGCGCCACGCAAAGAAAAACCCTTCAACATAGTGGCTGATGCAATCATTCTAAGGTGCATGATGCAATAAACCGACTCACTCACTGTTCAGTGAGTTCC